AACTGGCGGTAACACTCCCTCTGGCGAGCTTGCTCGAAACCCATTGGCTGCCGGGAGTCTCACTCTCCGACTCCCTCCAATAGGCAGAGCTTTGTCACTGGACGCATTAACACTGAGTCCTTCGTCTTCAATTTGGCACACCGCACCAGGCCGTCTTCACCAGATACCGCCTCCAATATCCTTCCTAGCATCCATTTGCTCCTTGGGAGAGGATGTCCAGATATGATGATGATGTCCCCAGTGCGGAAGTTGCGGTGTTCCCGGAAGTGCTTCTTTCGCCTCCGGAGTGTCGGGAGATATTCCTTCACCCACCTCTTCCAGAACTGGTCTGCAATGAATTGGGCATGCTTCCATTTTCGTCGGCACGATTCTGTTATGGACTGATCGCCTCCAGTGGGCAGGGTTCCCAAGTGCATTCGCAGTAGGTGAAGAGGAGTAAGTGCTTCTAGGTCTCTCGGGTCGTCGGATACTGGGGTGATGGGCCTCCCGTTGACAATCTCTTCCACGGCACAGAACAGGGTGTTGAGTCGCTCTTCGTCTAGTACCTGTGTGCCCATCAAACCCTGGAGAACCTTCTTCACCGTGCGGATCTAACGCTCCCATACTCCACCCATGTGGAGTTCTCTGTTCGCTCCAATCAATTTGGTTCCATTGTCGGATCTGATGCGCTTGGGAGGTTCTCTGCAGGATGTGAACCTCTTTATGATGTTGATGAATGAGTGTGTGTTCAGTGAGGCGAGGACTTCCAGGTGTAAAGCTCGGGTGGCCAGACATGTAAACAAGCATCCCCATCTTTTCGCCCGGACCCGGCCTTGTTTAACCATGAAGGGACCAAAACAGTCGACTCCGGTGCAGGTGAATGGCCGATCATCTAGATGTACCCGGTCCTCTGGCAGGTCAGCTTGGCGTTCCTGGGTAGGCTTCCAATTGCTTCTTCGACAAATTACACAAGTATGTAGTACTCGATCGACCAACTTACGGCTTTTGAGTATGTAATATGTCTCGCGTAGCGCTGCTAGAGTGTGCTCACGTCCTGAGTGGCCAGCCTTGGTCGAATGTACCTCTTGTACGATAAGTTCTGTGTTTTTTTTGTCCCTGGGTAACAGTATGGGGTTCTTTTGGTCTGGATGGAGAGCAGCGCGCTTCAGTCGATCAGGTCGTCTGCACCCAGGCAAGGTTCTAGTCTGCTTACGTCACCAGTCCTGACTGAGTTTCCTCGTTCCAGCGCGTCCATCTCGTGGAGAAACCCTCCCTTTGTATCAGTTGCAAACCAGCTAATCTTGCCTCATCCAACTCACTGATCTTCTGTCGATCTTCTTGGTGACTTTCTTCCTTTGGATCGCTGAAGCGCCACTGTATGAACCTTCTGAGCCACGCCACACCTTTCAGTAGCTGATGCCATGAGAGTACCTTGCCCATAGCCATTTTAGGGTACTCTCCCCCTGGTTAGTACTCGTTGCCAGTACTGCTGCATGTTATTTTACCTCCGGGTCTCCATTTGCAAGTTTAAGAATCAGGTTTGGGTTCTTTGGCCAATTATTTTCTCCCAACAGCAGTCCTTGTTCAATTCTGCTCCATGCAGTCCACGGCTGGCATCATCAGCTGGGTTTTGGTTGGAACTCACCTGTCGCCATTGTTCTGCGTCGGAATTCTCATGTATTGTTGCAATTCGGTTTGGCACAAAGGTATGGAAGCGCCGTTCAATGTTTCGTATGTAGTGAAGGGTGACCATGGTGTCCGTCCAGAACACTGATCTGTCGATCTGCAACTCTAGTTCTTCTCTCAGTTGTTTGTCTGCTTTGGCCGCCAACACTGCCGCACATAGCTCAAGCAGAGGTATGGTTTGCTGTTTCAGAGGAGCTAACACACAAAGGAGGTAGAGTGGGCTCCATCTCCACTTGTGATCCTGAGGTAGAATACAGCCCTGTATGCTTGCTGGGAGGCGTCGCAGAAGTGGTGCAGGTGTACCGTAGTTATTGGATTTGTGCATTCAGGTTGGTAACATCAAGGGATGCGTACTTGAGACAAGTGGGGAAGTTCATTTAGCCCCTGCCGCCAAGCAGCTCTGTTGTTTTTGGTCATTTGTTCATCCCACCCGATGCCTCTCCTGCACTCGTCCTGGAATATGATTTTGGCTCGTATGGTGCTTGGAGCGATGATTCCTAATGGGTCTTATATGGAGCTGACCATGCTCAGGAGACCTTGCTTCGTTTGTGGCTTCGTTGGGATCTGGATGCGAACTGCAAGTTCGTCATTCTCTAGATCCCACATGATTCCCAATGCTTGCTCAGTTGGGAGCCTGTCATCCTTCAAAAGTACTTCTTTCACTTCCATGGCTCTTTCCGTTTGTGGGACTGCTCTGAGGACCCCTTTGTGGTTGCAGATCCATTTTGTAAGTCTGAACCCGCCTTTCTTCATCAACTGCCTCAGTTGGTGAGTGACTATCGCCGGCTTCCCTGGTGATGCTACTGAAAGAAGCAGATCATCGACATAAAAGTTACGACTTGCTTTCTTAATTTCTTCATGGAGCCTTTGCCCGTCGTCTTGGAATTTTCGTCGTAGTGCGTATCCAGCACATGATGGGCTCCACACTTCCCCGAAGAGATGTACCTTCATCCAGTAAGTGACCTGGTCAGCCGATAGTTGGCCGTCTGTCCACCACAGGAAGCGCAGGGCGTCTCGATGCTCGGGCAGTACTCGTACCTGGTGGATTTTAGCCATGAGTGACACCCTTTCTTGTCGGAACCTAATGAGGGCTCCCATCAATTTGTTGTTGAGGTCTGGCCATGCATCACTTGGCGGTTCAGGGGCACTGACTCATTCGTTGCTGCATAGTCAAAAACTATTTTCAACTTCCCTGGCTTATTTGGTTCAATACTGGGTGATGTGGGAGATACCAGGTTTTCCCCGGCACAATGGCAAGCTCACGGTGTGGGACTCTCTCAGCATGTACCTTTTTGATCAGGTTTTGCATCTCTTTTCGATATCTTTGGCAGAGGTCTGGGTCATTTAGGAGATGTCTCTTCAAGCTCGCTAACCGTTGGTCAGCTAGTTTCCTGTTATTCGATAGTCCCGGCTCTTCATGAAGGAACGGTATGGGAAGTTGATAGTGCCCGTCCATCCTCGTCACTGAAGTTGTCCACAACACCAGGACTGCTCTGTCTTCAACAGAGATGGGGTTTTCATTGCATTGGGCTGAGTCACATTCCCAGAAGTGTCAGACCTGTTTCTCTAAACGTTTCTCCAGGCTCAGCAGCTTTTCTGAGAGGAGATGGTTGATTGCTGGGTGGTCACTTATTGCAGGTCCAATCGGTCCATTTATGGTCCATCCTAGAAGCGCGCGCACCGCGAACGGCTCTCCGTTCTCCCCGGTCCTTACTTCTAACGGTGTTAGGGCTTGTGGTACATCTAACCCTATCAGGAGATCCACTCTTTTCGGTGCGTGGAGTGGTGTGGTTTCTTGGAGGTGCTTCCACTTGGCAACAGCTCTGGTGTCTGCAACCGATGCTTCCAGTAAAAAAGGCAGGTCTTTAATAACGAGGATTCTGGGAATGTTGATGGATCGACTTCTTCTCGCTCCAACGCTAGTCACCTTCAGATCGATCTCTTCGGCCTTCACGCTCTTCGTCTCCTTCGGATCATGCCTATGGCGATTGAAACAAACTTCTCTGTTATTTGTAGTTGGTTGGCTAGGTTCTCGGTGCAGTAAGACCTGTTCCTGCCTGAGTCCAAGAGTGCTTTGGTGATCATTGTTGCATTCGTTTCTCGCCTTATCTCGCCGACCTTGACCTTTAATATGGGGAGTGCAACTCTGCCTGGATCCGCTAGTCATATGTTGTAATCTTCGAGCCCCTCGCACTGGTTATTTTCTCGACCGTAAGTATCTCTGGCCCATTTATACTGGTTTTCTCGGTTTGTGATCACCAGTGCAACCTGCCAGTTTCCAGCCCTTTTCTCCGTAACTCTCGAGCTGGATTCGGGTTTCCATGGCCTAGCTCCACTGGTCATTGATTTCGGTGCCGACATGATGGCCTTGAGATGACAGTCACCTAGCTTCTGCCTCTTGTAGTCGAGCGACACTTCTGATTGGTGTGCAACCATGGTGGAAGCTCCTTTTATCCCTTGAAAACTGGCTAAGAGTTCCTTTCTTGATGGTTCGTCCTGGTTTGGCATATTATTGCGCATAGAATTTCTTGAGAAGTGCAGGAGATTCGAGTGGAAGCTATAGCAGCCATCTATGCCGCACCTCGTCTTCTGGATGCACTCGGCCATCCGGTGAGCGCGATCTAAGCAGGTGAAACAGCGACGTTCTTCACGTACGAGTGAAGTTTGCGCTCCAGTCGACATGTTGAGGTAACCTTGGCATTTCTGCAGAGGGTGATATCCAGGGCACAACTGGCAAGTGCTGTCGTCCCTTCCTCTAACCTCCTCTCTTCCCGAAGTCACTAGGCCCACAGGTATCTTTTCTGATGAGGGAGGGTATGGGTGTGAGCCTGTTCGTCTCCCGCTCGGCTCTTCTTGTCTTCGTCCCCTCGAAGTCCTCCTTGTCCTGTCTAGCAACTCCAGTACAAAATCCTTCATCCACTCGACCCCTGGAGAATTCCCGTGTTTCCTTTCATAGTCATATGCTTTATCCTCGTATCTCTACCTGATCTTTCCCGTGAATCTCTTAGCCAAAGTATTCAGTGATTCGTACATGTCAATTTCGTGCCGTTTTTCCCAGTACCTTTAAGTTGTTAACGCAATTTCCCAGATCGTCCGCGAGTTCCTGAAGTCCTTTAATGTCATGTGTTCTTACGGCTGGACCTTGCCTATTAGTTCTTGGATGTAGGCTTGCCTGTTGCCATAACGCTTGTTCGTATCCTGCCTTGGGGTTTACTATTTGCAGGCACGCTCTTAGGGATTTCTTAGCGTGGCTGGTGTAGGCTGAGAGAAGTGTTTCTAATTTTAGTGCATAGGGTATGGGCGCCTCCCTAATGTGTCTAAGGAAGGCATGCTTGAACTACCAATACTCGTCACAAGTCCCTCCGCTGAACCTCGGCATCGGCCTCTAGGGAAGCCTCATAGTGGCCATTAACTCTTCCACTCTCTGGGTTGGCAGTATCGTGTCCGATGGCCTCCCTTCCATCCGTCCTGGGCGTTCTCGCTGTATATCTTATACCTGGTTTTTCTTCTCCTGGGTTCCTGTTGGTATCACTGCTTCCGGAAAGTGGGTATGACGGGTGGAAACATGTTCCCTCTCCCCCTCATGAGATGTTCTCGACTCTGAGATGCTGAGTGTTGGGAATCCTCCTTAGGTGGGTGTCAAGGTGTAGCAGCTAGACACTCCTGATTCCGGCGGTTGACAACGTGTGTCTCGTGGATACCTCGTTGCGGCTGTCATCCCCTCACTCGTTTCCAGAAAAGGCCTTCCTCCTGGTAATGACAGCATCTCACCAAAGTCTTCCGTATCACCTAAAGTCTGCAGTTGCTTCATATGATCTTTCATATTCTGCACCATTGCCGTCAATTGGGTGAGCGTCCGCTGATAACCCCCGATTACCCTATTCATCCGACCTGTTGGTTTCATCTTTCTCTCGGGCGAAAAGGTTTCTCCACTTCGCCCTGACTGTGTGAGTGACCGGTTAGCATCTCCGTCGTTCAGGGCCTCCAGGTCTTCTACGCTGGCTAGGCTTATCCCCTCTGCCTTGTTCCCTTCCATGACTGGTGGCACAGTTATAGAGACGTTCGTTTAAGCGGGAATGTTTTTCAACTGACACGTCTGCTCGTTTATAACGATGTCATATAACTGTCGTCAAACAAGCGATGTCATACAAGCGATGAACTGAAGTTATACAAGCGATGTCATACAACTGAAGTTATACAAGTGATGTCATACAACTGAAGTCATATAAACAATGTCATAACACTGAGGTCATATAAGCAATGTCATACAACTGAAGTCATATAAGAGATGTGCAATAAGCATAAGCGATGTCACACTAACACGACAACAGAGGCACCACAATCAGTGTAGGGATTTATTATACAACTGCTACATCATAAAACTGATGCCACAAACACTACTGCACCCTTACTCACAACTGTCACAACTACTATTTTCTTATAGAAAGGGCAACTCACTCGTTCTTAAATTTTATTTACAATTGGTGATCCAGTTTGGCTGTACGCTTTGAACACTATCTCTCCCACGTGTATGCACGAATGTTATTGACACAGAGTCCACTCTTTCCTGACATGCGGTATTCGCGGCAGGCAGCAAACCTGTCTGGAGGACTCAGGTGTCTTGAAGTGATGAGAAAACGGATGCCTCAGATGGGAGACTCAATGAAGAAGGCACAGCTACATGTTTTGTGGGCTATTGAGCGTAATATGAATTGTCTGATTTTACGTTAACTGACGTGTACGACTGTGATCATTACAGCTGAAGGTCCGTCGGCAGTCGATTTACTCGCCAGTTCTCAGTAGACTGTGCCGGCAGACTGTAGGACTCACGTTTTGACTGTAACCGCCTGATGAGCGACTGTGGGATTATGAGAACCTTGTGTAATGACCACGGTCGTACACGTCAGTTAACGTAAAATCAGACGATTCATTTTATGCTCAATAGTCCACAAAACATGTAGCTATGCGTTCTTTATTTGAGTCTCCCGTCTGAGGAGTCCGTTTTCTCATCGTTTCAGAACACCTGAGTCCTCCGTTTTCTCGCAATCTTAGAGTGCACCCGAGACTTCGTTATTCCTTAGTAATGACACAGAATTTGAAATTGCAACTGTGGTTGCATATGTTGAGGCAACTTAGATATGTCTGATTACAGTTGGAACATTCACGATCTATTGTGAGTAATGCTGAAAGCTTCAACTGTATTTATTGTTAGCAAAAATTGTCAAGTAAGTGAGTGCCGAGTTTGTCAGTATGAGTGGCATATCCTTATATCGTCCTTGGGGATAGCCATGAGTTCCAAGTGCTACTGAAGTTAGATTACTTTGATGCCCGAATATCAGAGAATTGGATGTTTGTAGTTTAGTTAGTGTCAGTTGTCTATATAAGAAAGTCATTAATCTACTGAAAAGATTCTGTCAAGCTCAAAATTAAAAAACCTAACGGTTCTTCTCAGGAAGAATTCCTTGGCTGTGGTTTATGGTTTCCTGTAAGTGTAGTTGTTAGTGCGTGTTTAATGTCCATTTCACTTTTTCCTGACAGACTTAATCTCTGATTAGATTATAGGGATAGACGTGGAAAATTAGCCTGACCAGTGACACTAACGTTCATAGTTAAGTGTACAGCGACCGAGGTGAATAGAATTTCTGTTGTTGGTGAAATTAGCCTTTCTGGCATGTATGCGTGGGCCGGAACTGCCCCAGGCTCACGTATATACGGATGCACAAGGAAAAATCACACGTTCGTGACTCTTCCTCAACGCATCTCCAGGTATGTGAACGATTGTTTCCCGCCGCCACCTTAAGTCAGTTTAACTTAGTCGATTTTGTGAATATCAGTGTTCATGTTTTAACATAGTGAAGTAATCATGTGCCAAGTAATTCGAGTAAAGTAAGTGTCATCTGTATTGCTGCCAGACGTATAGTATGAGTATTTGAGTTAGACATTTTCACGTTCGTGACTCTTCCTCAACGCATCTCCAGGCACTGTCTGTGTTGGCACCACTACTGAGGTTCGGTAGCCTCCGATGGGCAAGATGGTTCTTGAAGGATGTCTTTAAT